CAGAAATGGTTCATTTTTGAAGGAGTACAGATAAAATTTGTTGCTTCTCAGGTTAGTTTCGTCTATATTACATAATTATCAAACTTTATTTTAATTTTTATTTGAATTCATTTTAGTTAAAACTGGTCAAAGTTAGACTTGATGATGGATACAATGCATAATTGACATCCATTATGAATGCATATGACGTTTTGAATCTACTAAAGTGATTCGAAACGGAACGTATCAGTAAACGTCTTTGTCATCAGCCAAATTCAGTGAAGGTGGATCCAACTATTAATGAATTACTGCCACTCAATTAACATCTGAATTATGCAAACATTTATATAAAAAGGTGGATGTGGGGGGTGAAAAAAATTAGTTTTCAAAATATTATGAGGTTCGGACCACTTACAAAAAGGTGCAGTATCCTTTTATGCTCATAACGATTAGGTGGTCCTATTTATCTTCAATTACAAGTTTTCTTTCAATGCCTGTATTCTTGCTTTCCTTGGCTAATTATTTTCTAGGTTATGAGCTCATATTTAGCTAATTATTATGTCAAACTTAAATATTCTATATAAATTTTAGAAAATCTCATAAAAGGCAGAATCATTCTTGGAAGTAAATGGAAGAAAAAATTATTTATTTTTATAAAAATGTGCCAAGCAAGATGTTTGGCATATCTGAAAGCAAAAGTAGAAAGAAAGAAGTTCTTTGTTGTGGTCAATTAAATATCGAAATATATACCAACATATAAGGCTGAGGGTAGGGTGGGTTGGGTTCGTACTCTTAACAAAATTGATTTTTTAAAATAAAACTATGAATCTTAATATTGTAGCAAAGTTCATTGGCTTCAATGAGCAATTTGATATGTTTAAAACTCAAACAAGCAACATTCAATTCAAGATTGATTTATTCAAACGAGAAACATATTACAGGATAAATGTCATATTGAATAAACAAAATAGTATTCACAAACATATATTAAGAATTAGGATTCTATATTAAAGTGTCTCAAACCCTTATATATTGGTTATAACTTTGACATTTATTTGAGACTATATTGCTCCCTTAATATATTTTCACAAGATGTTTACTCATTTTAACAAACAAATATTGAAATATGTGTACTTATATAAGTGTTAATCGAATCTAATTATTCGTTGGAGCTTAATTGACTTTAACATCATAAGAGGAATAATCCAAACTCTTCTAATGATGTGAAACTTGTCGTTTGATTTCGGGTGAAATTGTTGACATAGAATCAAGAAATTAATTACATGTTTACTAAAATAAACTAGATAATCTAGATGAGGAGAAAAAAAAGTTAAATTCTTGTTTATCGTATGATTTATATCAAACATGCACCCTAAAAAGATATGTTCGTTAAAATTATTTAAACTAATTACTTTGTATTTCATAATATTTTCAAGGTTTTTTTTTTTTTTTTTGTGAAATAATATTATTATTCCTTTTAGTGAGGGGGATTATCAGGAACTCCAAAATACTGTTACGACTCCTTGGATTATCTTTTACTTTTGGGAATCATACAAACATTATCATGAGAAATAATTACAAATAATAAGAAAAATTCACATAAATTATCATGATTGATGACAAATTCCCAATCAGGAAAAAGTTGGCATGACCTAACTAGCATTAAAATGATTTTTTCTTTGCCTAACTAAAGTTTAATAGGAGTAATGGTTGTACTAGATTTTCTGATGTATGGTACACATCAATTTAAAGCCCTATGCTACAACCTTCCCAACATTAACCTACCCGTATAATTCCAAAAAGAGACCTCCTCTTGAGTTTTTATTTGACCCTTATTTTTATAATTTCATTTTTTTTAAATTCATTTTCAACCACACGTTTTATCAAACTTACAATTTTAACACATTTCATCAACATCTCATTATTATCTTTTTTTTCTTATGACCGCACATGCTTATGTATACAAGAATTGAATAGTGATCGTGACACAATATTGAAAATGTTTGGTAAAAAAATTATACAAAAATTAATTTGGATTAAATCCACAGGATGCTTTTATTTTTTCAAGGCTCATATTAAAATTTCTTTTATCCCTCGCTCTTTTTTTTTTTTTTTTTTTTTGTTCCTTTCACTATCACCATTAATTTTTCACACGTCTTTGAATTCCTCTGTCCAAACTATAAACCGTACCCACAACCTAATTATTATTCTCTCCCATCTGCTACTAAAAATAGCTACGAATTTGGAATCGGATATTGCACGTACTCTTAAATATTACTGGGTATTATTTTATTCTGCCCTCACGCTAATACTTTTTCAACGTTGTTACATTAAAGTGTTTGTTTGGTCAAGCTTTTGAAATTAATAAGCTATTTTTATACCTCTTTGCTTTATTCGATTAGAAGAATTTTTAAAGAAAGTTGATTTAAGACAAATTTTTAGAAGCTCTTTACTAAAAATAAAATAGAAATAGAAACAAAAACTGTCAAACAGACCCTAAATCAAGATTCTTGAGACTGTTTGATTCGGATTTATCATAATTTACAATCACGTTTTTGTTAGGACTCGAGATAACCAAAGAATTGCAATAATTATGATTGTGTTAAGGCTGCCAGACCAATCTAGAAAAATCCAGCTATGCCCATTACCCACTCTCTGCATTAATGAAAGGACTGACCCCCATGCTTTGGTTGTTGAATGAATCTCAAAACTGACTCTAGATGCCATGTACCTCTCAAATAAACAAGACTTTTAGTAAACCGCAAAGTAGGTGCATTTCCAGTTATAAATGACTCAAATTTACTACTTTTAAGCTTATTCAAGCATTCTTAAACAAACCCAAAGGGAAATGAGATTATAGATGGGGCACAAGTACCCTTTAATCAGTTTCCAATAATTATCATTGCTTCCCATAAAAAGTACAAGTATTATTTGGAGAAACTACTAACCAAAGCTTTGATTAGTTAGCAACGGATAGCTTCATTTCTAAAATTAAGCCACCAAACATCTTATAAAGTACAAAATCTGAGATTAATCAAAAAAGCAAGAAACAACCAGGTGAGTTAAATGGGTCCACCCTAACAGCTCGACCCATCACGTGAGCCAACTCACTTCAAGGACGTTGGGCTCGACGGGATCCATAAGCTGGAGCCCACTGTCCATAACTTTTTCTTTCAACCTTCCTTTTTTTTTTTGGGAAATTGCAGTTTTAAAAATTGTAATGAATACTTAAATATTATTATTTCTCGAGAACCAAAAAGGTGAGCCAACAAGCTCACTAGAAGCCGACTCTCGATTGCTAGCCGTCATCTTGACTAGCGAGTGGAGCGAGCTTTACCAGCGAGCAGGTTACCCCCAACTCCCCACCATAGAAAGAAAATAAACATATACTTCAATTAAGATTTTGTTTAATTCAGATTAAAATTATATTTTAATTTAAGTCAAAATCAAAGTCAAACAATCAATATTAACCACATCTTTTATGAATCTCACAACTTTTCAACCACACATTTAAAAAACTTCTATCACAATCTACTAAAAATATATAATTTTAATTCCTACCAAATTTCCTCTGAACTTTAAAGCCAAATCAAGCCTACATCAAAGTGCATATGTAATCTCCTTTTAGCTTTCTTTATTAAATTTAGATTTTGTACCTTAGAGCTTAATTAAGAAATGAAGCTACCCATTAGGTTAATCCAGATGACATAATTGCCAAGTTAACTAATCAAACTCAATATATATATTATAAATCCCAATGATGGGATCTTGTAACAACTGAATTCCCAACACACATTTGGAAGCACCATGTCCATTAGAGTCCACTTAAATAAAGATTAATGACATTTAAATCAAACTGTGAAGATTATTTAAAAATTCTTGAAAGTCAGTAGCTCTCTTTTCTGCACAGATAAAGAGGATTTGTACCATGCAAAATTCAGTAAGATTGATTAAAATATTTCTATGTAACTGCACCTATTTAAAGATCATTTTTTTTGCTTCTGAATGCATGCAATAATTTCTTCATTAAGATTCTCAGAAACTTGATCATCTAATGATATTAATAACTAATTAAACAAAGATTAAAAATCTAAGTAGAAGAAGAGATTAAAATTCTAAAGAACTAGGACTCGATTTTCCCCCCCTTTCTGGCTAACACTTATTAGGAAGAAGAAGATGACCCATTAGTACCAAGAACATGAGGACTGTTGCCATTGTTATCATGAAGGTGGTGCTGACTCAAATCTTGACCACCGATGTTAATTTTGCAGTCATTGTTGCTGTCCTGGTGGTGGTGATATTGGACGGAAGTGGTGGCGGCGGCTGTGTCGAATGTGTTATTTCTACTGCTTATAGTACCATAGCTAATACCATTGCCGTTTCCATTGTTGGTGGCCGGAGCAGTGGGGGAGATGACACTGTTAGCTATGTGCTGATCTCTTTTTCCAAAAGTGGTCTTGTTGTTATGCATCCACACTTTGAATACCCCTTTATCGACCCCAATTTCAGTGCAGAATTCAGTGATCGCATCTTCATCTCTTTTCTGCATTTTCCAGCCAACTCGTTCGGCGAACTGGAGCATTTTTTCCTTTTGATCTTGTGTGAATCTTGTTCTGAAACGCTTTCTGCCATTAGGATTTGATGACAGAGGTGCTGATGTGGAGTTGGGAGTGGTGGAAATTGGTGTGTTGCTGTCAGGCGGTGGACCAGACGGGCCATGGCTGAGGGCCAGCAACATGTGAGGTGCTGAGGGGTAGTAAGATGAAGAGATCGGCGGTGGGGAAGGTGAATTTGGGCTGCTGCAGTTCCCACGATTCGCCAGCGGCGGCGGCGGAGGATGGTGACGGTGGTGCGGCTGGAACTCAAGAGCAGGTGTGGCGTTAGGTGGAAGTGGATCTTCCGGCTCACGGCGGTGGAAATTCCGGTGACATCCACACGCGGCGCATTTCAACGAAGTGGGCTCTGATGGATTCGCAGTAGGAGCCGGCATAAACTCTCCACAACCATCCACAGCGTGGCCACCCATGCTCGCGGCGTGGTTCTTCAAACATTCTTTGTAGTTCACCACCACCGGGTGGTGGTTGTTGAAATTCCCCGGATAAAGTTGCAGCGGCGGGGGTCTCTTCAGCACGCCGTTGGTTAGAGACAAAGGCTTTGAATTTGTGGTCTGGATCCGAGTGGGCGTCTCATTCTCAGCTTCCGGTGTCTTAACAGTGGCTGTTGCAGTAGAATTGCTTAAATCCATGGCTGAAACATCAAAGGATTTTAACAATTCTAAATCTTGATGAACAGGGTTAGGGTTAGGGTTTTGAGAAAAAAGAATAATCGTTCTCCATGTGTTTAGAGAGAGGATGAGATTAGGGAAAGGAAAGAGGGGTGGTGGTAGTGATGATGAGTAGTGATGAACGTAGATAAACAAAAATCTTGGTTATGTGGCTGTGCTTCTTAACCACTTGGTTTTTTTTAACCCGGGTTCTAATCCATGGTTAACTTTGTTTTGCAGAACCCGTCAGATGCTTTGTCACCCTTTATTTGACTCACATATGAGCTTCTCGGCTCGCCCCCATTAACAAGTCGAGTAATAATACAGAGTTTATCCACGAATCGAGTGAAAATATGATTTCGGTATTAATAACATTATTGGCGAGCTTCGAGCAACTCACGAGTTGAGTCACTCAAACTTTGGTCGAATGAGTCGACTCGCCCCATTTAACATATTTGCTCGGAGTTGAAGTTATTTTTCCATGCTTTGAGAACTTGATTGACTCCTATGCAAAATTGTATAAAGATTTGCATCCAAATAGACCATATAATGAATTTAGTATAAAGTTACGTCGAAATAGACTGTATAAATTGAACACTAATAGGAGAATGGGGTTAGAGTAGATTTAAATCCCTATTTGATTTGGATTAAAATTTTTAATCGAAGTCAACAATTAATTTTTATTATAAATTTCATGAGATTCACAACTTTTCATCCACATATTTTATCCATTTTTATTAAATCTAGTGTTTGTTTGGTAGGAATTTTGTTAATTGATTTTTTGACTATTAGAGATAAAATGGGTCCTATCTGTGAGAAAAGAATTCAAAAATGACGGTTGAAATAATAAAATAACGATAAAAAAATTGATATTAATTGGATTAAAATCTCTACCAAATATGTTCCTACTAAAATTCTAATTTTAATCTATATTAAACAAAAGCTAAGTTATAAAAATACTCTTTACGTTGTAGTTAAAAAATGTGATTTACATTTGAATAAAAAAAATAAAAAATCAAACAATATTATCCACCATAATTTTATTGTCTAGTATTGTTCATTATAAATTAATATTAATATTTTAATACGAGCCAATCCCGTGTCAAATGATAATCCCTAAGAAAAATTGTAGCTAAAGTTCATAACCTGTGAACTGAGTTAGGGTGCCGGGTTAACCAGGAAATGTTTGTTGCGTGAAAGTAACAATGATTTACCTGTTTGGTGTAAATAAACTGAAGCGGGAGCAGAAGGTGCAGGTCTGCTGTATTTCCCTTACCCACGTTATTTGTCAAATTTCCCACTCTCATACTGACTTTTTATACGGGCACACCCTTAAATTACCCTTGGTCCAAATCGAATTTATGGAAAACTTTTAGTGGCAAAATTGTCTTAAAAGAAAAGAGTAATCGTAACCACTCTGATTCCCAGTTGAAATGTACAAATAACAATTTCCTACGTGCGACGTAAGATTTTTTGGAGTTTAGTGCATGAAACACGCGTTAGTTTCTTGTTAATTAAACACGCTCAATTCTCGTAAGCATTCTTAATTTACAGCCACGTGTACTAAGTCCTGTTTGGTACAAATTAAAATCTAAGTCAAATGAAATTCAAATTTTAATCCACCAAAGGCAGAACCTGTACCATACATTTTTGTCATATTTGGATCTAAAATCAATGAAAAAATTCTTAAAGTATTAATCTGTAAAAATTTTGTCTGTATCCATAACATAACTGCTAAATAATCCCTCCTGCAACAAAACTTGGATTCCATAATTTCATGTTCGTAGTTAGCTGACACGTTTCTCATTCCTCACCTCTTGAATACAAAATTAAAATTTAATAAATTTATTGGTCTTTTTATAAATTTAATTATTTTAAATAACTGAGCAATTGAATAATTTAAGGTTTGATTTTTCCTTTTTCTTCAGGTAAAGGTGGAAACGGTTGACGTGCACTGAAAACGGTGACAACTTTAACATTAAATTATGTGAATTTAGGAAAGTAATAAAATCAGCCGTTCGCACATAAGACGTTTATTGGGATCAACGTACCAATCATCGCAATTGTGAACCGAATTAACGCATTGGCAATCACAATAATTAAGCCCGTTCAACTATCATTATTTTGAAGTTCTTTAATTATCATACTCAGTCCCGGTTTGTTTTTCATTATTTGACTATTAAAATAAAAAATATGATCATTATTCATCACATTAAATCATTTAATTCAAATTTTTATTTCTTTTGTGAAACTCGTAATAACTATATTTTTCATTATCATTCTTACATTAATGGAAAACAAAAGGAATCTCATTTTCATTTACACGTCTGTTTATAAATATTAAAAAAAAAATCTTATTTTTACCACAAATCCTTCAAAAATTCACCGTTCAAATCTTCTTTTTTTTTTTTTTTTAAATAATGACCATCAAACAGGCACTAATTTATATTTTTTTACGATAAGATGTATTTAATGATCTTTTTAAATTAATAAGATTCATTGTCTAGTAATTTATAATTGGCTAATGGTATTAAGCCTCGATTTGACATTCATTAAATCAAAATTTTTCTTACTTTCTCAAACTCATTTTCAACCAACATTCACACAATAAAATATTTTGTACGTAAGTCAATTTTTTTATCATTTTTTTTAACGTTTTAACCACACATTCTAAAAAAATTCGCCATTCTGAAATTCATCCCCACCCCACAAAAAAATATTTCTAATTGATGTCAAATTTGGCCTAATTGATAAAAATATCTATTTAAAAAAAAAAAAAACATGCATAGTTGTTAGTGTTTTAAAACTTGCAACTATTATTGTCCAATTATTGCCCAAGGTGTCCACAAGGATATATCAACAAAGATCTCATAACAATTACATCGTGCGTAAATCATCACAAAAAAAGAAGTCGAAGAAGAAATGGGATGATGACCCCGCCCCCTATTCCCCATGCCTAACAAAGATAAATTAGCTGTCCTTTCATTCATGAATTTCTTTTCCTGATCTTTCAAATTACACTCAAGTTACTTCGATGTATGCAGTTGAAATAAGGACAGTCGTGAAGAAATATGTACTCTAGATAGGTGATTTTCTAAGGAGCATGATTCAACTAATTAAATTTCTATATTTTATATTATTTATTAGTATCAAAAATATTAAAATATGTTTACAGAAGCCAACTTTACAAAACTTTGTCTGTTTGAGCTCCATTTTTAACTAATAATGAATTCTGAAATAGTAGATTAATGGATAATGTGTGGTTAAAAAATAAGAAAATATTGAAATTTACGTGTAATATTATTTTATCGAAAAATGTGTGATTAAAAAGAAAACAGAAAAAATGTATTTCAAAAATAATGGAGATCAAACAATGTCAGTGGTTATTAGTTATTGAAGTCTTAATTTAGAGAGATCAAATTACATTTATAAATCCTAAAAATTGGTAAATTTAAAATCAACAATAGTTTTACTTTGAAACAAAAAGTGTTACATTTATATAAATTTATCACTTATAATTTTTATTTGTTTTAAGCTTAGTTAAACGCGCTCGATCGACACATTGTTCTTTAGCATAGCTTTTTAGCAGAAGAGTCCTCGTCAATCACCATCATGTTGCCAATTGCGAAAGGACAATAACAATAATTTTCCATAGACAATAAGAAATTCCAATTTTATGTAACGTTTCGTATTTTTAGTTGGTCGGAGCTCTTGAGGTGAGGTATGAATAACACATTATTTTACTGTCATATTATACTTATATCTTCTATTTATGATTTAGATAACAATCATTTTTTAGTAAATTTTAATAAAATTTTGTGAATCCTAATTAAAATTACTTATTGATTTTAACATATATTTTAATTAATATTTTTTAATTGAACCAAACAGAAATATAATTATAAAAAGTTTATAGAAAAGACATGGCATGGACCCACAGTTGTACCACCTATTACCCAAAAAACAAAACCCCGTAAACCCACGACTAAACCCATAACTTTGTCACATGGGTACGAATACACATCCACTAATTGACATTATTGTAAGAATATTTGGAGAAGAAAAAGGCTGGTTTATATTTTTTTTGTACCAGCATATAATTTGATGTTTAAAATTAAAATACGTGTCATTGATCATCGAGATAATGATGCAAAGTCTCGATCAATTTTAAGAAATGGTGAAATCTTATCTACTTGAAACATTTGAACGTAGACCTTATCCAATCAATAATTCCATAGGTGGTTGTGAACAGTAGGTTTGATAGCCTAATCTAAGAGGGTGTTCGGGAGATATTTTTATATAAAAATACATTTTTGAATTGTAAATTGATGAGAAATGTATGGTTGAAAAATAAGAAATTTTTTTTATTTACGTATAATATTATTTTAATAAAGAATGTAAGGTTAAAAAAAATGAAAAATATATATTTTAAAAAAAATGAGTACCAAACGGGGTCTAATTATTAAGAGTGGTTCGATGCAATCAATAAAACTATTGATGTGATATTGCTTTTTGTCACATTCAAGAGAAATTATAATAATACCAGAATTGCCCCCCCCCCCCTCTCGGATATAATCCAAGTGGTGCAAAGGACTAGAGTGAGATAGTCTCAATTTTGCTGACAACCGTATTACGAGGGTTTGATTCTTAAAATATGGAATTGAACTTTTTGTAAACACCAGTGTACGGGCAAACTCTTGTTCCCTGGCATCCCACGATTTACCTCCCTCACGATACTCTAGGGGCGGGACGGTGGAGGACCTCAAGGTTGGGGTTCAACCTTTATAATAATAGCAGAATTTTTATTATCTTACCATATTTTAATTATAATAAAATTTTCCAATATTTACCTAGCCCCTATTTGTTTCCTATTTTTTTAGTAAGAATGTATTTTGAAATAGTTAATCAGTGAAAAATGTGTGATTAAAAATTAGGGTTGGGCAAATCTCCCGAACCGAACCCGAACTGAACCGACGGTTCTTGTCAAATTAAATACTTGAACGGGTATCTGAATTGAGAACCGATGGGTAAGGTTAGATTCTCGGTTCTAGACCAAGAATCAAAGAACCGAATCTTTCTAATTTTTTTTTTATATTGAGTAAATCAAATTATTTTAGTTTTATTTTTTTTAAACAAATTAACAAATTAACAATTTCTAAATCCAAATTTTTGGCCCAATAATTTGTTT